AGAAACACGTGCTTAATTCTTACGTGGCTGGCTGTATTGTAGTATTAAGTCTTTAGAGATCTCAATGATAGTTAACCGTTAGGTATACATTGTAAAATGTTGGATATACTATCTCGGCAAGTTAAATCTATCTTCTAGTAGTAGCCACTAGAATCAGACGGAAACCCTGCATGCGCTAGAGAATAATGGTCTATTGAAATACTAACAATCCCTGCTTGTATCTTTACCTACCCTTCTCATCCAGTCGAGCTATACTTATTACTATGTTCTTTGAAATAACGATGTCATCATCCAGCGTGGCTCAGGATGGTTAAGTAAGTATCTCACCCTAATAAATACATTGCCTGCATTTTATAATTCCTACCTTCAGATTTCTGATACAGTCAACCTTCGAGGCGCTACTGAAATCGACACTTGCGAAATTATTTTCCTACTTGTTCCTATTCCGTTCTATTAGGACGGGAGTGACGCTAATACCACCGACACATCCGGAACAATATAAGCCAATGAAGCAGAGAGTCAAGACTAGAGGCTGTGTGCTGCTCGCCGATAGGCTGCCCTATCTCAAATACTCAGCACCTATGGTCGTACGATAGCTTCTTACAATAGATAGAAAAGGACAAAATGACGAAGCCGTGCAGGTAGTTCACTTTCGAACGCATAGCCCTTTGCGCATTTTCCAATGAGATATAAACCATTTATTCGTAATACTGCAAGGGAATACAGACTATTCGTGAGAATATTCTGGAGTTTTACAGCTTTCGCCAGCAAGTATTAGATGTCTTACTCAACAAAGTCATGTCCATCTGACAGCACGCTCGTCTACCATCCCATGGATCCGAGTTGGGGAAAGCTTGGGACTTGGATTCGAATTCTCGGGTTATGCCATTCGGCAGTCAAGGGACAACTCGGTAGTTAAATCAAGGTTAATCTAATGTTAATCTACGCCTTGGAGACTAGGACGCCGTGCTGCTAAGCTCAATGGTTTTTGGAGAGGAACTACCTGCTCGACGATCCCTCTGGGAGCGGGGAAGCCATACATGGTTGGACTCCCAGCTGCTTCGGTAACGGTATCCCCATTCATTGGTAAAAAATCAAGAAATTATACCCTTAAAGTGATTTAGGTGTGACAAGGGAAAGTCAGCCTTTTGGCATTATAAGAAAACCATTAGTTAGTGCATTTAATCGTTTACCCACCGGAAGGAGACAAGAAGAAGGTGTGATCGTCGCCTAAGGACTTTAAACGTAGGAACAATTCTTATTGGTGATACCTGTCTTGACACGACCTTCATGCCACGCAACGAGGAGACGGGAGACTGTAGATTGTCGATAGCCGATATTGCTTCGTGTCTGCGAGTACTTATTAAACCCCTAGGTTAGATGGTAGGGGGCCTACAACGTGTCATCTGCCACAAACAGTGCATATGAACGGTCCCCTAAACTACAGTCTGATAGATTCCAAGGGAAGGAAAGTGGGATGAGAACTTAACTCCAGCAACCTCCTAATATAAATTTATGTTGCTGTAATGACGACATATATCAAATTTGGGATATGTGGTTAGTTGAGATAAATTTCTTGTTACCCGGTCTGCCGGTTGTTCGGACCTCGGCTGGAGGCTGACTCGTGAATTATAACGAGGCCTGCTCTATGTTTATGTGCTATTAGGTACTGATGAGTAATTAATTAGTAACATTCTGTTCTGTCTACCACCTTTTGTGATGTCTTTGTCTGTCACTGTCTCGTCAAGAAGCTGACGTCAATATGGCATTTGTTTTCAAATTGGAGACGTTTGCATCCAATGATGGCCAGGTCCTAAATCAAGGTAGTGACTAGTAACCGGAACGGCACGACCAATCAGTAATACCGTACCGAACCAGCAATGAATGTTTGCTCAAGGTTGTAATTTGTTCCTTCTGGATCTTAATCATGTGACATGATGGCGAGAAGACTTGTAAAGGCTGTTGTAACGACTTGAATACCGTAGGGCGTAGTGCTGTGACGGCTTTCATCGCCCTAAAGCTTAGACATAGTATCCCACGTGCTGCCTACATCAGAAGCCAAACCTGTCACGACCGTAGGTTGTTGTACAGGCTGCCTTCTTGCTTATGTACCAGTCTCTTAATGATAATACCGTACCTCGCAAAATGTTCCGATTGTGATTTCGACACCGGGAAAGGCAACTGCTAAGATGCCAGTAGGCCAAGAGATCGAATGAAAGGTTAGAACCGGAATAGCTAGGAATTAAACTTCAGCCTCCCTTATTTCTCATAGAGAAGAAATGGAGAACTGGTAGGCTAGTACGGTCTAAGATGATTTAGCACGACTCGTGCTGAGGGGTCAAGCCGCCGATCCAAGCAGAGTGTTTCTGATTAAATGATCCTCGCTAGTATTAGCATGGAGATGAATTGGAGCCTTGTTAAACCATACCAATTGCTTACCTTTACATTAGGACTGGGCATATTCCGCCCACCCGCTTATACGAGTATATGCGGAATTGGCTCCTGAACGAATACACGAATCGTCTGAAAGCCGGTTATACTAATTGAGAATTTGAGACTGTAGTGTAGGTGTTGCGGCTAGCTTGGGAAGCAGAAGCGAAGTGACTCCTAGCCAAGAAGAGTCAACTGATATTATCAAAGTGCCGTACGGGTGTTGTCCTTGGCAGTTTGAAGTTTAGCCAAACCGACAAATCTGGGGAAAAATCATACCTCCGCCAACTATACAGTAACGTTGCTTACTCTCGATGCGTGGGTTCTGATAAAAAGAGTGATATGTCTTAAACGAGACACCAGTGGAGTAGATCAAACAAACCGTGGGGAGATTTATTGAGCGAGAGAAAAGAGACGAATGTAGTGTGCTGAGTCTCGTTTGCGAAATGTGATAAAGCCGCATTTTATAATCCCATAATAAACTCCCGACGAGTTGGTAGAAATTTTAAATTTAACATAGGCGTGCTTCCCTTTGGGATAGCCGCTAGAGAAGCGCCTCAAAACCTTAATAAGCTAATAGCCTGTGATAAATCAAATAGTTTGGTTCGAGGGGGAGACACGGCAACGTGTACTTAGAGTATACCTATAAATTTCGAGGTTGAGTATTCTTAACCAATCTTGTGCCTCGAGTTCTCAGAGCGGGTAAGATGTACGGATATGGGGTAAACCAGTCAAACCATGGGGAGGGAGAAACAGGTTAAACATGGCAGTGGTGGTCTATTGTCATACGTAGGGTTGAAACACAAGCTGACCTGCCGGGGACAAAAAAGGTATCATGACTTGAAGTAAATACGAAAGGTAGGTAGTTATTCGGTCACACTGATATTCGGTGGCCCGGAGTTGCTACGAGAGAAACGGAACAAAAAAAAAAGAAAGGAAATTGGGTAATATATACATCCGAGAGAAGTTGGAGTTATTTTAATAAACGATGATGATTCTGGTTTGATGTTGAATGTTTTCTACGACATCATAAATAAAGTGACTTAGGTATTTAGGTATGTACTACTTGGATGCAACTGCTTGAATGCACGAAGCATGCGCTTAAAGTTGGCAATCGACGTGTACCTAGCTACATACGGGACGATACCTAGTACATTAGATACGCGTATCGTACGTATCGTACAATAGGTAGGTACTCCAAAGCCGGGTACCCGATGTCTGGATATCTGGATATGTCCCTGGCACTTTCCTTGCACTGCCTCAATTCTGCCAATCAGAATTTCATATCTGAAACCCCACCTGCTCACCTGCCCAGTATTTCTCTTCCCCTTAGGCTGAGATACGAAATTTAACCCCCAGACGACCGCCCTTCCCCCCAGCAGGTTTAGCATTGTTCAGTGCTAGACTTGCCAGACTTGCCAGACGTGCTACCAGATTGCATGCCCAGTAGCCAGTAGCCTCCAGCTGGCCCCCCGGTTCTCTTTGGGCAGTGATAACGAACCATAGGTTTTAGTTGTAGCTGTGGACTGAACTCCTACATTGGCCCACTTAACAGAACTGCTTGACAATTGTAGTGAGTTTTGCAGATTTGATTAAGCCGGATTCTTCAGACGTTTCCATCGGCTTTGACCCTTTTTCATCTCCTTCCCTCTTCATTTTTTTTCTGCCCAGACCCCGCGACAACGGCGACACATTCCGTACGTATTTTTCGCACTGACGAATCCTGTTGCCATTTTTATCTTCTCAGTGGTTTTGCATTGAATCACACAATAATAACCTGCGTAAAAAAAAGACATTTTACTTGTCGTTTACAACCCCGGGAACCAGTTGGTATTCCCGCATTGTTTTGGCACTCCATAGTCAAGACACGCTACGTTGTTGGCTCAGTTGCCTCATTACCGTACTTCTTGACAACCAACCGCCTGACATCCGAACCTGAGAATTGCGCGCTTTGTGTAATTGTAACTACAGACGGCAGGCTTGCAGCCATTATTACGACTCTCCTCGAGAATTCCCCGATCGTAACGGACGACGCTCCTATTCCCAACTCACATCTTCTCAACAAACCGCCGCCCCTCTACCGCCTTTATTCTCTGCAACATCTGCTACACCTGGCGAATTTCGAGTCCCAAAAACTGGGCCGATTATAATACAAAGTACGAAGAAAAATATTTTTTTTTTGATTCACGACTTTTACTTTTATTCGCACCAGCGACGCTAAGCCGATCCAGCTTTTCTGCATCCCATTTATTGCACCTTACCGACCGACTTCGATTTTTCTACGAAGCTATCATCGGAACTGGTCGCAGCCTCCTAAAGGCGCATAACAATTAGGAGACGAAGCATTCTCGCTTTTCTATCGAGATTGCAAAAAAAATTTAATGCTGGAGTAAAGAATTGCCACTAGACTCTGCGTACCTGATTTTAGTAGCGAGCCTTGAGCTTCTTTGGAAAGCTCCGTTACTAGCTGGGATCACTTCATCGTGAGTTTTTTCGTCTCCCTTTTTTTGGGGTCTTGATAATCCACCGGGCCCCTCTTCCCCACTCACCTTGTCGTCACCTCAGATTAAATCTGCCTACCTTTCAGCCAAGATCCTCCCCCTCGAGTACCCCAACTGTCAAATCTTTCCCTCTTTGTTCCTAATAGATCGGTGACTTGCCTTACTAACATCGCAACCTCCTAGCAGGCCTGAGAAGTGCATCATACATTGATACCGGGCTCCACTATACTCTTCTAGATCCCCGGTCCTCCCCCCCCTACAACCCTAGGGCCCTGATCTCAACACACTTCAACTTTCGCGGGCCAACTACCTGGCAGGTCAAGAATCTAAGATGGCAGATCAACACGACGTTGATCTAGACTCTATTATTGACCGCCTCCTCGAGGTGCGCGGTAGCCGTCCTGGCAAGCAGGTACAGCTTCTAGAGACTGAGATTCGATATCTCTGCACGAAGGCCAGGGAGATCTTCATCAGCCAGCCAATCCTACTAGAGCTAGAGGCCCCTATCAAGGTATGCATATGACTTTGTGATAGCATCTTACGTCCTTGTTCCAAGTAAGTTGAGTCACTAATATCCTTTTGTTATAGATCTGCGGCGATATTCATGGCCAATACTATGACCTATTGCGCCTTTTCGAATATGGTGGCTTCCCCCCAGAAGCGAATTACCTTTTCCTAGGTGACTATGTAGATCGTGGCAAGCAGTCGCTCGAGACCATCTGCCTCTTGCTCGCATACAAGATCAAGTACCCCGAAAACTTCTTCATCCTAAGGGGTAACCACGAATGTGCATCCATCAACCGTATCTATGGCTTTTACGACGAGTGCAAGCGCCGATACAATATTAAACTATGGAAGACATTCACCGACTGCTTCAACTGCCTGCCGATTGCAGCAATCATTGATGAGAAGATCTTCACGATGCATGGTGGTCTAAGCCCCGATCTCAACTCGATGGAGCAGATCCGCCGAGTAATGCGACCAACCGACGTAAGATATACCATTTCCAAAGCTCTACTGTCATTTGCTCTGCCAGCATTGGCCCGAGTCACCACTGACATATTACTTTAGATTCCTGACTGCGGTCTGCTGTGCGACCTGCTATGGTCCGATCCAGACAAGGATATCACGGGCTGGAGTGAAAATGACCGTGGCGTTTCATTCACCTTTGGTCCTGATGTTGTCTCCCGGTTCTTGCAAAAACACGACATGGACCTAATCTGCCGTGCCCACCAGGTTGTGGAAGATGGCTACGAATTCTTCTCGAAGCGTCAATTGGTCACTCTGTTTAGTGCACCGAATTACTGCGGAGAGTTTGACAACGCCGGTGCCATGATGAGTGTCGATGAGAGCTTGTTATGTTCCTTCCAAGTTTGTCTACCTCTACCCTATACACATATACGAGTATATAACTAATGACTGCCCGCGTCTAGATTCTCAAACCTGCTGAGAAGAAACAAAAGTACGTCCATGGCGGCCTCGGAGGCAGCGGTTTCGCATCTCCAAGAAAGCAATCATCCAAGTCTTAAAGAAACAGTATTCATACGAACTTCCTCGTCTTCTAGGTTCGGCCGCTCCCGATAAGTTGCTCCTGAAGCATCCAGCCCGTTTTCGAGTCCCGATACTTGTCCTCGACCAACGATCCCGTTGGCGTCATCCTCGCCCTACGCCGGTCTCCATAACACACATACACACCTCTCCGACCGCAACGGGCATTTTGATAATGCAGCTTCGAGTACAAATATACGATCCACCTCCGCCGCGAAAACACACATGTCCTCATAACCTCACTTTGACCTCAGAACTGATGAACGAGATGAATGGTGGTTGTTGCTATTACGCGAGAAAAGAAATAAAATCAGATTTTCATTTGGAATGGTCTCCATGAGTGTTCTCAGCCCACTCGCCCTACTTCTGCGAGGCCATGGTGACAAGGGGGAGAAAGTCTAGACAGTTAATTTTGTTTCCCCGAGAAGTGAAACTTACGAATTCATGCAATGATCTGCTTCACGGTTTTCCACCTGTTGTTGCCCTTCTCCCGGTTGCCAAGTGATTTCCGTTACTGCTGTCTTGCCTGGTCTTGTGTACTATTGACTTTCGTGTGGAGCTAGTTACGATGGTGGTGGCACGTAGTCCAAAGAGAACACTGGGTGCTTGTGCCGTGTTGAGTTAATCGGAAATTCTTACCCTTTTCCTACTAATCGTCTGGTTAACCTGACACATGCTATGTCTACAATTACCTAATTTTGTACATGCTAATGATCATGACTCCCGAGACATTGACGTCGATAATAAATACCATTTCTTTTCTACAACATGGTGTATTCACTTAATTAGGTGCGTAAAAGGGGGTAGGGACGGAAAGGCAATGCGATTGATGTAGGATATGTCCCGGAAGGGCGTTATGTCACAGCATCTTTTGCATTGGCTTTCTTGCATGGCCGCATCGTGCATTACCTCGGCAACTATCTGGGTTAGGTAGGTCAGATAATATAGATGTGATATGTATATGTGCCGCTCTGCCGACGTCCAATAATGGTGGCCTGCAGTTACCCCAGATATGTGCCACCCGCGCACACCCATCCACCTACCTGGCTGGCTGGCTGGCTCACTGGCTGGCTGGCGTGCTTGGTTGGCTTTTAGACGGGGTGCCCTCTCTCCCTTTTCTCTCGTCGGTGGTATAGTACAGCCCAATCCACAGGAGATCTAGACGTGACGGCAGTGAGGAGGAGGAAGGTATGAGGACCGAGGGTTGAGTTAAGAGGTATGAGGTATGAGGTATGAGGTACGTTCATTTGCAGTCTTCGCACTCCTCCTGCGTCAGGGCGTTCGTCCGCGCGCTCTCGACGCCCGGCTTACACGTCGGGCCGCCGATGGTTTCTCCCGGGTGGGTATTTAAGCCGAGGACATTTTCGTCCTCGGCTTTGGACGGAGCAGCGGCCGCAGTTCCCGTTGTACCTTCTTGTGCGGTCTTCGTCTTGCTAGACGAGTGGTCCTTGTCGACGTGACCGAGGTCCCGGCCGGGCTCGATGGCGTCGCGGACCCGCCGCTTCAGCTCCTTGGTCTCGGGGAAGCCGCCGTCGGTCTTGCGGTCCCAGAGGACGCGCTGCTGTGTGGTGGGAGGGGAATTGGTGTTGGTGGCGGCGTTGGGCTGCTGGAAGAATATCTCGACGACGAAGGTTCCGCCCGTGGAGGGCTGCAGGGCTACTTCGCCGAGGGAGGTCGAGAAGGTTGAGAGGAGCTCTTGCGCGAACTATATATATATAAGAGCAATGTCAACGGCGTTGGAGCTTCGTGGGAGGGTTGGTAAGGGGGGTGTGCGTGTCTATATATATATATATGTGCGTGTGTGTGTGTGTAGAGTAATATGGCGGGGCTCGTGGGGTTGAAACTGGTGGGTTGATATCACATATTACCAACACACACGATATAAGACGAGTAGTTAGGAGATATAATACAACAGACTTACGTATGCGGCTCTCAACATCCATTTACATTGTGTACAGAATCGAATGGTGATACGAGGTAGTGGGAATGGGGATTGTGGTGATGATGCGGGGCCTGGAGTCGAAGTCGAAGTCGGAGTCGGAGTCGAGGTTGAGGTCGATGTCTCAGCCATTGTAAACGTGATTTTATACGAACGGTCGTAGGAATTGGTCTGTCTTATATCGATCAATGTCTTAAGATGAGTGGGTGGTGGGTAATATGTATCCCCTCGTTACCATGTCACATACCTTAGGTACGCATAGGATATTCTAAATTCCCATAGAAGTTATATATTTAAGTAGGTAGGTATACAGGTATATAGGTGGGGTGTGCTATGACGATTGATGGTGAGAAAGATGCGTATCGGAGAGATGTACGTACCTTAGGTAATGTGCATAAACTCGCAACTTACCTCCGGTAACGAGGGGCTATCGAGTTAACCGTTATGAACGTTATGAACGTTGATTGGGCAACATATTCCAACGCGCCGGTTCGAGTGAACTCCACGGTAGGGAGACACCTACCTATTTAGAGTATAGGTAATCTGTAATAAGGCTCCATTAATGTTCTCGAGCTAAAATCGCGTTATCTTGAATGTTATTATTTTTTACGTGTTGGTTTTTTTTTTTTTTTCTCTTCATCTCCCTCACACGACTCCCACGCATGTAGATCCTTCCTTGATGCATAAGAGTGAGACTTCTTAAAACGAGACAACGCGGATTACATATAAACCGCGAAAGGCGCAAGCGTTACATTTACGTCTTATACCTTCGGGGCCGAAAATAAATCCATTTGCCGCTCGCTGCGGCACAACTCTGGCTGGGCAAACGCACTAGGTTAGAGCCGTAAGCAATCGCGTGCATATTTAGGACCCGGGTTTCGTAGACATTCGTAATGCAATCAATTGTACGTGAGATATACCGCGTAGGGCAGTGTAGGTAAGCAGAGCACTGCCAGACCGCTAGTTTATCTGCATGTCGAGTTGGAGATGATGGAACTTATCAGGTGGGATCGATGGACGAGGCAGATACCTAAGGCAGGGCCTACAGGTCTACAGGTCTACAGGGCATATGGTGGATCTTTCGCGGCAGCCTTATTGCTTACGATCCGTAGCTAGGATCGTGGAGAAGGATCTCTTTGTCGATGCATTACGATTGCAATTAGACTTAAATATAGTATGAAAACATATACAGAATGTCGGGGGAGTCAACGTTCCCGCTGAATCCAAATGTAGCCGCCGTAAACCTGTAGAGTATAGTCATAAATAAGGAAATGCTGTCATTCATCGAATAGCGACACAGACTTGACAAAAGAAATAGGAACAATACAGCAATACAGTCATGAACGAATAAATATTACATGTTGGAATTTCTCCAGTACTCTCTTTCCGTCCCCCCAATGATGGAACTGCCCGTCCATCAACCCACCGGCACATGAGAGTACCTAAAGCCTAAGTAATCGCAGTATGCCGGCTAGCGAATTATCGTAACATAGTCGATAGTCATCGACTCTTGGGTATTGTGTAATAGCCATTTTTGCTTTCTCAGATTATCATCCCCTTTCTCCCTCTTTTACTTCTTCTTTTGCCCCTCCTACTCCTCCCTACTCCTTCTTTCCGGTGATGCGTAAGAAGATTAAGTTTCAAGTAGGACACGATAAACAAAAAGAGGCTGGCTATCGTCGAAAAAAAATATCAGGCGCCCTAACCTGCGAGCCTCATCGCGACGTAAATCCCACAGAACACGTTGTATCCCGTGCGTCTTCCTAACTGGAGTTGCTCATGGTATCCCGCTCTACATGACCACACAGCACCCACCACTTTGAGGAGGCGCGTACGGATCCTCTCCCTTAGGGACGGATCCCCATACCGACGGGACCATGTAATCTCTCGTACTGTTGCAATACGCGATGATGCTTCGCATCGTGTTAATAGGTAGATAATTGGTAAAGTATCATCATTGGCTTCTCACCTCCTGGCTGCCTGCGACACGGGAATTCGTTCTCGCTCCAAGTCCTCCCGTAGCCTGCTGTTAAGCTCGGTCAATCGTCGCAATTTAAGGTCGGCCATTGACTGCTTGTTCTTCTTGATTTGCGACGGGTCGCCGACATCTCGGGAAGTATATTGAGGCATATTGATGGCGGTGGTAGACGGAGGGATGGAATCGGTCCTTGGTCGGGGTTCTAAAGATGGTGGCTGTGTGCTTGGACCACTTGCAGCGCCTCCCGACGTCTGAGAATCGTGAATGTCTATCGACGACATGATCTAGGTTAGTAAAAGAATATAGCCACTAATGATCATGTCTCATTGCTTATTGAACGTTCGCTCGCGAACAAGTGGAATTGATATTGTATTCGCGCTCTTTGCAGCCGTATACCCCTATCGGAAGGGAGGGATGCAAGGAGGAAACTAGCCAATTTCCAATTCGTCCGTGTCGGATTCGGGCTATTTAATCGAGACAAGTGGATTATTGGAGAAGGCGAATAAGTACTTACAAATTAAGGCGATCTCAAGACAAAGGACAAATTTGCAAAGAAGCTTCCGGGCGACGAAGAGGCGCAAGGTCAGAACGGGTTGGTCGGATCGTCGAACAGGAACATGAAGGAGAGACTATGGAAGCTGGGGAAGTAAGAAAGAGTTTGGCTGGCGAGTTAAAGATGGTACGAAAGTACGGCGTAGCACTGGCCTAGCGTAAAGTCCCTAGAGTCCTATCCGATTTATTATTGGCTGGGGGGATCTGAATATGGGGCTCTACTTGCAGGCTGGGAAATTGGGGCCCGTTTTGAGGGATAGTTCGCTAAGGGGGAGTAAATTGAGTAAATTTAGAGGCACGGGCCTTCTACATTGAATTGAAGGCTGTTTCTTGCTCCTCCTTATTATGTACTGCTTACCTTCCGTACACGCGTTATTACCTGTATTCAAATGTACAATACTAAAAACAGGACGACTCACAGCGGAAGCCTTACCTGACGGAGCCTAGCATGATTTATGCCCCTAATGATGAATATACATAGTATCATGCTACTAAAGTCTTTTGCCCAGCCAAGAAATGCCAAATTTGTCATCTACCTAATCTGTACCTAATCTGTGTAAAACTTCCTCCCGGAACCATTTTTTATTAGCGTCTAATTGGGTCAATTTCGCATGGAACTCTAACCCGAAAATGCGTAATTAGAATAAACCATTTACCATAATATTAGAGGTGTTGACGACGACTCCTTTTATACGCAATGCAATCAGCCAAGCCATTCACATGTCCGATAGACCAACCTTGCCGGTGAATCCAACTCTGACAGAGATTTCAGAACTTGTGCTCTGTTCAACAACAACAAGTGGTACCAGTCTTCGGGGATGGCATTCACGGGAACAGCGTGAATATATTTCCATACTAACCCGACAGGTTCTACTGATACGATAGGGGTTCTATGCAACTTCTATATTCAAAGGCGCCAGTATTAATCGTCGTGGATGTAAGTCGTACACCAAGAAGTGTCGTTTGCTTGGTTATGATGGAGTGAATTCATGACTAGAGTCATGGACTGGTACTTTATCGTCCTTCAACAATCCGTCAAGACAATGGGCGCAAGCAAGTGATGAGCTGTCAACTACAAAAGCTAGCAATTATCTCATAGGGATGAGAAAGCTATGCATTCTCAGACGACAGAGCAACTGTTATATCACTAGAGGTAATGTTTCTCCTATGAACATAACCAAATCTATCGGCCCGGATGGGTGAGAGGAGGGGGCGGGTGGTTTACAACTATATACCTCTCTCGCAGTCTTGATGGCGAACCGGCGATTTCAACTCAACGCCCTATTCCGAATTCGACATGGATATGCCGATTCTATGATGGTTGGGTTCAACTTGACGGCGGACATACCAGCCATTCGTTATGTGACGAAGGATTAAGAGCCGGCCAAGTTTATCGAGCGCCAGTTCATTCGCGAACGTGATCTGCATATCGTCTCGTGCTGCCACTGAGACGCGGCCGTAAATCGAAGCCGTCCTCGACGAGGCTGGCTCGCATAGCCATGTACATAGCTAACTTATCACCTTTGACAACATCAAACACATTATTTACAAAGTTCAAGAGTTTTTGTATTGATCGTATCCACAGATAGCTTCCATACTACAGCAAGCATCTCCAAAGCGTCCTACTCCGTCTTATTCTCATTATGGTTACAAAAATAGCAACTCCCTAGCGCACGAAAGTGAGGCGTAAATAACCCACAACTCTTTCAAGGACTACGGTAGTTTCTTTCTTTCCCGAGATTACACACTCTCTTCCGGCGTTGGAAATGCTACATAAGTTATTGGATAACTCCCTTAGAGCTACCTTAGTATTATCACATAATATCTAGGTACCTAAATACGGGAGCCCGTTGCCCTTACTTTCCACTTCCCCGGACGAGAAGAAAGTGGAACTAGCTCGCCGTCAATGTGAGAAGCATTGCCGCCTCCCCATCTTCTTCCCAACCTAGGTAAAGAATTCTTTCCCTTCTCATGACAGATTTTCTATTGCATCTTGACATCGTCACACATCACTCTACGCTATGCCGTATCCTGCGATCCGTTTGTTGCTCGATATGGGTTCAGCACAACTACTTACATTCGTATTTGGAGGTGTCTGTCTGTCTGTCCGTAACCTCTTTTCAACACAAATTTCTCAATTATTTTATGATAGGCTGTGTTTGTCCTGATAATTCGATCAATCTACTACCTATATTTCCATCTGTTGTCCGAGTATCCCAACCCCATTCCCACATTAGGGATCATAGCTGCGAGCAGTTGGAACAACGTATCCGATGAAACGGTTCTTTTATGCACCTCGACTTTTCCGAACAGATGATTCCTGAAGTCCGTGAACCTCCCAAAGACTGAAAAGAACTACGAGATTTAGAACAAGTCGCAGGCCAGTTACAGGTAGCAGGATACGAGCCTCCGGCATTATCGTTCTATTTTACTATCTATTATCTCCTCAAGAGCCCTGATATCTTACATATATTAATGGAGGAAATCAGGGGTGCTTTTAGGACCTACGACGATATTACGTCAAACATGGCCGCGTCATTAACATACCTGACAGCTTGTTTAAGGAGTCGCTCCGAGTAATGCCGGGTGTTCTCACGGGAATGTCGGTTGTTAGTCCAGGCTCTCTACATAGTAGATGGGTCCTTTATTCCGAAGGGGTAAGCTGCCCATATCTTTTTTCTTCTTCCTATTTTCCGTTCCCGTATTATTTAGTAGCCGTTAAATGGAGTAGGTCATTTGCCAATCCAGCCCATTTGCGTTGGCACGTAGCCGACGTAGTTTCCATAAGCCCTTAGACTTCCGGCCGGAGCGTCGGCTACCCGAGGGGCACGCACTTCATGACTCGCAGTTTGCCGATGACAACCGTAGAGGCTTCCAACCATTATATAGAAGGGAGGGTCACTTGTTGCGAACAACTTTCACTTTATGAAAGCCAAGATTTAGTAGCTGACTCTTATAGACGCCATCTTATCAAAATGAACACATTACCTAGGGCCTCTTGTCACTATTCTATCCCAGACCTTTCTCCGAAACCCTCAACCCCAGGTAGACAAACCATTAAGAGACGTTGAAACAAGCTCGCTTTTATGTTTAGAGAGTTCTTAACGACCGAAGCGTTGTCCAATTACCATGTCGGGGGGACGCTAAATATGGGGCTCCCACTCTTCGACTAGGAAGTTTAAACGTCACAGTACGATCATACATACGTACATTTAAATAGGTAGGTAGATAGGTAGATAGCTTCCTCCTCTGCCGGAAGAGGGCGTTGAGTGCTTAGCCGTACGGATCACGTCAAAGCAGACCGAGGATGGGAGGTTCGATCTCGATATGTTGATAAGGGATGTGGAGGGAGAGTTCTTCACGAGGACTTATACCTTACCACCTATATCAACTACGATGGCGTGGTCTTGAACCTTGAAATTAGAGAGTGGATAGGGGCTGTATGGGATGAAGGTATCTCTTTCAGCCCTAAATCGTCTGTAAGATGATGTTGATTTAGTAAAGTTTCAATACTAGGTACATACCTGAGGCAGGTAACGACCACCAGGTACCCAACATACAGTACACCCCCTAAAATAATGTTAGTTTTTCGGACGTGCACGATACAAAACAGTGCTTTTGATTCTGAATAGTTAGAACAACGCCTTTTGAAACTTTGAAACGTCTCAACTATTATACCAAGGCTTTATGGCATAAAATACTCCGAAACAACATTTTTTAGAGAACTACAACAACCTCGTAAGGCGGCAGTAGATATATGCTTCAGGATCTTGGCGAATTAGCTCTAAGGGTCCGCGTAGGTAAGTTACGTAATCACACGCTAATACCCTACGATATGATAAGAGATAATCGCTAGTGCAACATTGAACTGATTGAAGTAACACAAGAACTTTCAAGGCAACCCACCTAAATCACGTGACATAGCAAAAATTAGCCCGTGCCCCTCGCCTTCGTAAACCCACAGAAAGTGGCACAAATCCAAATTCTTCATCATTAGACATCGCGGTTTTTTTCACCGTCGTCACCCGGTAGCATCAATCTCCCTAATCCCTTTTAATCAAGGAGATTGCCCAAGATGCCGCCGCCACCCCACCAAAAGCCTGAGAATGTTCTCAAGCGGGCGCAAGAGCTCATTGGTGTCAACCAGGCTCCCGCCGCCTTGAACCTTCTACACGATCATATCACATCCAAACGTTCCCGAAATGTCCCCATCGTCTCTTTGGAGCCTGTGATGCTCCTCTTAGTCGAGCTGTCCGTCGAGCAGAAGAAGGGAAAGCTCGCCAAAGATGCACTCTACTCTTATAAGAATATCGCTCAGAACACCAACATCAGCACCATCGAACTTGTCCTCAAGAAGTTTATTGAGTTGGCCGCAGAAAAGGTTACAGAGGCGCAGAAGAAAGCCGATGAGTTGCAAGAAAGCATCGAAGCCACCGTTACCTCAAGTATCGATGATTTGGAAGCCAGCGAAACCCCCGAGTCCATTCTGTTAGCCACAGTCTCGGGCGAGCAATCCAGAGACCGTACCGAGCGTGCTGTAGTCACACCGTGGCTCAAGTTTCTCTGGGAAGCCTACCGCACCGTCCTCGATATCCTCCGAAACAACGCTAGGCTAGAAATTCTCTACCAGAGTACTGCTACCCAAGCATTCGATTTCTGTCTTAAGTACCAGCGAAAGACCGAGTTCCGACGACTCTGCGAGCTTCTGCGCAACCATGTCCAGACCGCCGCCAAATACTCGAGCCAGATGCATGCCATCAACCTCAACGACCCCGATACCCTACAACGACATCTTGAAACTCGTTTCCAGCAGTTAAATGTCGCCGTCGAACTTGAGCTCTGGCAGGAAGCGTTCCGAAGTGTTGAAGATATCCATACTCTTCTCAACCTTAGCAAGCGGCCCCCCAAGAACATTATGATGGCCAACTACTATGAGAAACTCACCCGAATCTTCCTCGTCGGCGAGAACTACCTCTTCCATGCTGCTGCTTGGTCCCGATACTACTCTCTTCTCCGACAATCCGCAGCTCTTGTAGCGACCGGCCAGAGCAAGAAGTCCGACAACCCTTCTGCCACAGAGGCTGACCTCCAGAGGGCTGCCTCCTTTGTTGTTCTGTCGGCTCTCTCGATTCCTGTCATCAGCACTTCTCGATCTCGGGGCGCGATGGTAGATTTTGACGAGGCTAAGAAGAATAAGAACTCGCGCCTCACCCATCTACTAGGCATGGCCAGCGCGCCTACCCGTGCCGGCCTGTTCCTCGATGCGCTTTCTAAGTCACTTCTGAAGCGTGCGCGCCCGGAGATTAGGGACCTCTATAACATTCTCGAGGTCGATTTCCACCCTCTGTCTATCTGCCAAAAGATTTCTCCTATTTTAACCAAGATCAGCGCTGATTCCGAAATGGAGAAGTACATCTTGCCACTCCAACAAGTCATCTTGACTAGATTGTTTCAGCAATTATCTCAGGTCTATGAGTCTGTTGACCTCGCCTTTGTCGAGAGCCTTGCCAAATTTCCGGATCCTTTCCAGATTTCTCGGGGAACTATTGAAAAGTTCATCATGAACGGAAACAAGAAAGGCGATCTCTCAATTCGCATGGACCACGCTACCGGAGTGCTTAGCTTCGATAAGGATGTATTCTCATCCTCGAAGGCCGTTCATGCTGGCTCGGCAGCTGGTTCCGCAGAAAGCCCCGTTGGGTCTGTGCAGCGCCTCCAGAACACCCCTTCGGAGATCGTCCGCTCGCAGTTAACTCGGCTCACGACTACTTTATACACAACTTGTTTCTATGTTGATCCGTCCTACCGACAGCGCCTAGGTGAAGCTCGACAGGCCGCATTGGCCAGAGCCAAAGAAGGCGCTGAACAGGAGCATCGTGAGACTCTAGCCCGTAAGGAAATCATCCAGAAGCGGAAGGAAGAGGCATCCGAGCTGCAGGCGAAGAGGGAAAAGGAAAAGGCAAGACAGAAGCGACTTCAGGAGCAAGCACTGGCCGAAGCTGAGGAGCGACGGCTGGCTCAAGAACAGAAAGAGCGTGAGGAGAAGCGCCTCAAAGACGAAAGAGATCGTGTCCGCAGGGAGGAACTTAAGAAACAAATCGCCGACCTCAAGATTGGTCCAAATGCTATTGACATTGATATCGAGAACATCGACGATTATGACAGCAACCGTCTTCGTGCCATGAAGCTTGCCCAGCTCGAAAGAGAGAAGAATGATATTAATGAAAAGCTTCGAATTACCGGCAAGCGTATTGACCATCTTGAGCGTGCTTTTAGGAAAGAAGAAGTCAAGAAGCTTCCCGAAGACTATGCTAAGCAGCGAGAGCGCGACTTGGCCGCATACGAGGCCATGAAGGCAGAGACGTTGCAGGAAGCTGAGGAGAAGCACAAGCAAAGTGTTGAACTGAAGCATCGTCTAACCCGACTCATGCCCTATTATGAGTCGTTCAGAAAGTCTCTGCACGATCGTCGCCGTGATGAGTTCGAGAAGCGTCAACGTGACGCCGAGAGAGAACTGGAGAAGCAGATTACGGCTCGCAAGAAGGAATACCGCGAGCGTAAGCTGCGGGAGAAGCGAGAGCGGGAAGAAAAGGAGAGAGCCCTGCGAGAGGCCGAGGAACGCGCCGAGAAGGAGAAGAGAGAGCAAGAGCAGCGCGCCGAGGCGAAGCGCCAGGAATTAATCAGACTCAAGGAAGAGCGAGAGAAGGAGCGCCAGGAGACTCTTGAGAAACTAGCTCTTCAACAGAGAAGAGAGGAGGAGGCGATGGCCAGAAGACAAGCAGAGAAAGAAAAAGAGCGCGTACCATTCAGCAGACGCGAGCCAGTTGCCATGGATCGTACCGATTCCAACGATCGGCCTTCTGGAGCTCCGCGTCTCCCTCTTGTCGGTGTCAAATCGTCTTGGCGCGATCGCGAAGCTTCGAAGAATGCTGGCGCCGCCGGTAGCAATGGGCCAAGCCGTACCGGTACTCCCATGGAGCGCACCGATTCTAACGAACGTCCCATCGAACGTGAGCGCCCTACCGAACGCGAGCGTCCCACCGAGCGTGCGTCTGGGCCTCCCCGACTACCCCTTCAAGGAAAAGGAACCTCCTGGCGTGAGCGCGAGGCTGCCAAGGCAGCCGGTGCTGCCCAGAGTGGTTCCAGAGACAGGGACAGTGCACCCGGGCCGGCTCCCACACAGGCTCCTAGTGAGACTCTGAAGCCTTCTGGTGCTCCTGGAAAGTGGGTACCTCGGCATCTCCGAGAAAAGCAAGGTTAGGCATTGAAGGACCGGCGTTACGGAGGTTTGGGTTCAGTATGACAGGTAGCTTGTAGTTTAGATTTATGAAGAGGAATAAACTGCCTTCTAATCTACGAGTGTACAAGAACTCACAGCTACTTGCATGCTCTATTTGCTTATAATAGATTAAGCGAGTACCAAATCGTTACGTTAGGCATAGGAAGGGTAATGTGCGTATATAAAAGGCTTTACCTTATGTACCGTATCCCTGTATATAGTAGGGTATTCATCAATGGTTATGATGGATTTCTAATTAATCACAAGCGTCTAACCCCTATCTAACAACTCGGTATTATACGTATATGCTACTAGGCACGGGTATCTATCATATTCGGGACTTCTCTTTTTCATTTTCGTCATACGTTCATCTAAACGGTGGCCATTTGGCATCATTTCCAGGGCGTAGGTAATATTGGGTTCCCATCATTCGCACGGGATGGGACGGGATCAGCACTCAGCTCGACCGGCTTCTCATGCGTTGCCAGCTCTTTGACGGGATGGAATCCGGACAGCGTATGCTCCGTCGGGAGCTCGCTCACTGGCGCGCCCTCCAGCTGCACCTTTTTCTCCGCCTCCAACACGTTGTCTATCCCATTATAATCTCCTCCACCCTCCTCTCGCGGACCGGGACCCGCAGGCTCTTCTCCTTGCGTACGCTTAGAATGGCGTCTACCTAGTCGGAAAGCGTATAGTAACAGCCCTCCTGTAATCAAGATGCATGCGACACCCACCCCGACGGCTATCCCGGCTATAGCACCTCCGCTTAGACCGCCTCCATCTGGATCTGAAGGACTCTGTTGCTCGTTGCTCGGCGGCTTGGTGGCGGCGACCGGTGAGGTCATGCTTGTTGCCGACGCAGTAGGTGATGATGTCTTGCCCCATGAAGCGGTCCAAACTGGCGGGGATCCGCCTCCTGAAAAATCACTACTGACTTCTTCCCCATTATCGCTACAGTAATCTACAAATTCCGAATGCAATTCGTCTATACACAGAATATTTAGCTCTACCCCTTGACACAGACAGTCAAGCTGCGGTAATGACAGATGGTGGTGAACACATACACGCGAGCTGCTCCGAAGAGTTGGAACATGCCCCCTGGGCACAGGATAACGAGCCTGGCCCTATAGACCGGATATTGCTACACAGACATTTGACATCGCCGGTTCCGGTACAGTTCGAGTTTTTGCTAATTGACGACTCAATACACGGCTGGGCACACTCCGGGAGGTACGTGGTAAGGTTCTGAGAGGCGACGGCCAAGGCGATCAACGCCAGCATAGGGAGAAGAGCCCGTAAAGGCGTCATTGTGATAGAATGCCGTTGTTCAAGCCGTCCCATTTGGAGACAAAGCCCCCCGTAACGTCGAGGGCTTAAGCAGGGAAACATAAGGCGGGTAGGTAAGTAAGATGACGGAGGACGAATATGGGGGAGGAGAAATTTTTCAGAGAGAAAAGGGGCACGAGGCTAACGGGGATGGTTCCCCGGAGGATTTCTTTTTTAAAGAGATCTTTGGAGACAACCTTATTTGGATAGTAAATACATGATCTGATATGTTGCATTTCCATCTTAGGAAATAGATAGCTCGTGCAATGCTCTGCATGGGGTTTGGGAGGGCACGGCTACGGTCTGGGATGTTTACTGGTCCGCGACTAAAGTTGACGGCTCCCGATCCGGTATAGGGGGGAGGGCGGAAGGATTGCAAATGCAGAACGGGGACTGTGCCGTCTTAGTGCGGCGAATTATTCTATTCTCCTCCCTGTCCGAACCGGGAGGCTATTATACAAGAGGACTCGGCCCCGGGAATCGTAGAGGGGCTAGCTACGATGCTGCAACTTACCTATGAGAATCAAGATTATATCTAGATCTCTGGACGCCATTTTCTTTCTCGAAAGGGGGGAACGTAACCGTCACAAAGCCAAAAAGAAATGGCGGGGAGGGTCGTCACTGGCTAGCCTTACATATCATGTGAGATGCTATCTATCATATTGCTAAGGTAGCAGTGGTGGCTGCAGAGAGGCGGGGTCCGCAGCAATATTGTTCATGATGCGGTGGTGGAAAAGGCTGCAGGTTAGGGTAGCAGTCGAAGATACTTTTCTTTTCTTTTCTTTTCTTGGCACATGGTCAGCTTGGAGTAGGTATCGGTCCCGGGCGAAGGCTAGGCTGCGAATGAAACGTTTAGGTAGGTCTTTATTTATATGGTCTTGCCTCTCTGAAAGCTAGGTACTTAGACGGCACCGAGGACTCTGATACATACTACGTTGATAATACTATGGTAATTGTGGTGAATATATTTATTCAGCCCGTCGCTTGAAGCGAAGTTGAGGACTGGTGAAGACATGTCCTTGTCTTGTCTATTTTCCAGGTTAGAGGCGCGAGGTCATGGTTCAAAGTAACGTGCCTAAGGTATGAGAGCCTCATGCAATGAAGGGAAAGTTACATGAGTATTTTAGTAAGTAAATTGGGATTACCCCAGCACTTATATACATGTAAGAAGGACCCCAATATTGGACAATTTCTCGAGATCAAAGTCAAGGCTAGTAAGTCTCTACGGTAGCCATTAGTATCCTAGTCTCCAGGTTGGATGTGTAGAGAATATTCCACATTTATATATAACTACGTATAATAGAAGAACTTCGCCGAGGGCTGAGATCTTAATGTCTATTAAACGAGAGGAAACTATTTTATCTTGACGCATATTAAGGACTATGAACTTGTAATATGTCTTGGTGAAGAAGCATCTTCAAACAGGGCTTAAACTAGGTGTCAGGTATCAGTCTCATCACGGGCTTATTATGTTATATATTGTTGATGGAAGGGTAGCATGTAATTTTGGTGAAACATAGCGTACTGTTATCTCGAAGGGATGCCATAGGAAATATGTTTCTATAACAAGCATGACAGTATGAGAATGTCCTGTATGAACTCACGGAAAGGGGGTAAGTTGACTATGAACAAATGCGTATACGCGAGTTTTGCTTGTAAAGAAAGAATGCTGAAGAATGCTACAGCAAAAAGGAGAAAGGTCAACTTTAAACTTTTAGAGTGGAACAGCCTCCACCGAATAACCCTAACTTGGCGAGTTTATCACCAAAAAAATTCAGTAACTTCCTAGCGCTGTGACTAGGTCGTGACCAAGCATGGACTGAACAGATTCTTTCACTGCCTCCACCCCGGATCGAACGAGGGATCTTTGCATTACAAGTGCAACGCGTTACCACTGCGCCATAGAGGCCGATGAGTGCTTAGGCCGGGTGTATTGCGTTATAACCAAAAGACAAAGACGAAGCGCAAAAAGCGAACGCTTTTTATATGATAGAAATGGGGTTGTTTTTTTCAAGTTGTAATGCGCTCGCTTACTTGATGAATCTCTTATAATATGGAATAAAATATGGATCAATTACCTTACCTAATTATGAATGAAGATGGCTATTTCCTTCCATGATGGTTACGCGACATGGCAATTGCCTTAGTCATCGTCTCGGCCTATTACTTACATGTGCTACTTAGATACTCGACCCATCGCAACTTCTAGGAGCCCAAACTTCTTCCCTTCAACAAAAAAAACCTCATGTGCAATGTTGCCCAATATGGCCCCGTTACCTAATACACCGACCACGGAGTATATCATCGATATACTATTGGTTCCGTCAGATTAAGCATATGTCTTTTGAGAGATCGGAGCCAGTAGAAAATGCTTGTTACAACTGCTCGTTACAACTAGACCACGTGGGAACCCTCAGCGCGGTCGAAAGGGGTTATAGGGCCTGGAAGCTTTTTTGTGTTAATACGAGCTTTACTGCCCAATTCAGGGCGCCATGTTCTTCTTGGTTCAAGCCATATCCTACTTATTTCGGGTTCCTATGGGGACTACATAGGAATTGTCTTCCTACCATACGACCGACCGACTTTCATCTAAGGAGATGCAATAAGGCTGCTTAGGAAAAAGCTCGGGGTTCACGGAGCCAGCACTTCGCAGAAGAGGGCCTATCCCAGCTTTCCGGGCGTCATCTGCGGGGAATAGGCCAAATGTCACTTAAAAGTGAGGCTTATGTATCGCATCACCTCGATAAGAGCCCTAGCTAGTTGCGGCTATAGCGAGACCTGTGCGTGGCTCTTTAATAGGCGCAACATTAGAGGAGGTGAGCCATTTTGCGGACGACTAGCTGGAATTGCGCCTGCTTTACCAGGGACCGCGTGATATTGTTGATCAATCTGCCTGTCCGCTCCTCACCTTCTCTAGCCAATCTGATGACGGCGCTGAGACGCACTGGGAGAAAGTCTCATGCAGGACTGCGTTGTTCTGCTGCAGGCTGCAAGTAGACAACAACGGGAGACCAATAAGACCGATATGGAGTTACGCCAAGATTATAAACATTATCTATGAGCTCTGTAAGCCCGTTTGTCATTTAGCATTATCGTTCAAAAAAAGCTAGGCTCGACGTACAACCCTCTGACATTATTTAGAGGCCGTGTCCCGCTCCTAGATGGGTTTACCAAGGGTAAGCAGATCAACGACTGGTCTTACCCAATTTTAGAACGGATCATCGCTATCTTCTACTTCGGATTGGATAACCTATAGACCTGCCAGCACCGAGAAGATGGCGGAAGTTTATTGCATATGTGTGATCGCCTACATGGAGGGGAGGAGGCCGCCTCCTAGAAGGGAGCTGAGTTCGACTTTGGAAGCACTTGATAAACGCGCTCGACATCTCGAGGCTACATCCCAAGTCACACCACCCCCACCATTTCTTGAAACAACGTGGGACTCACTTACATGGCGTGTGTGCCGTCTGTCACGTTTACTACCGCCTACTAAGGCGCTCAAGAAGGCACCGCCTTTGGGGAATGCCGCCTCTTTGTCTCTCTTGAAGGGTGCCATGTCGACCATCGGCGTTGAGAACCAGATCCCCTGGTCCGTGGACGATAATCTGGAAGAAAAAGAATATATAAAGTTAGCTGCGCAATGGCTCTACTATTACGCGGGCCAACGCAATGTTGAGATCAGGCCCCCTTCGTTTAAATTCGAGGACGTTTGTTCTCTAGCGCTGGACCTATCTCTGGAGGCTGAATCTGGGTTCCCTTGGAATAGGCGACCAATGCCCCCCCCTGGTCTCGTGGTACCTCCGATGATCAACATGCAAAGAGCAAGATGCTGTGGCTGCTGCTCCTGTAGTTGCCATAGGAACTTAAGACCGCGACGCGATTCGAGCGTGAGCTCGGACGAGAGTTCACATAGGAGTTCGCACCGTGGGAGATGGCCGGTGTTCGGATGGTTCAGAAAACTCGCCTTCTGGCGTAGGAGACGCATTGCGGACGATTCTTCGTCATCATCGAGCACGATTGTGGACGACTAAAGGAATGGTCCCCTGATAGGGAGCGAATTGTTTCTCGATAAAACTTCATGTACCAAACATATCATTGAGTTTATGTACTTACATTAGTGATACGAAAAGGTAGCCGGGAGTAAAATCAAGTGTGCGTTATTGGCAACGATAGACGTCTGATCTATCTAGATCAAGAACTTGAACATGTGCGAAAACTCTATGGCGATAATTCATAGCGTATGAATGTCTTAGTGATGGAATAGCCGGCGGTTAAGTGACGGTCCTCTTCGTGTTCTGGACGAATGGAGGTAAGTTCCAAGGGTGCGGATCCTAAGACACGGCACATTCCCGCTGATAACCAGGCGAGGCAACGGCACGGCACGGCACGGCACGGAGAAACACATATGCATTCTTTATTATTATGCATTACGATGGGAATAAGAGTGGTTGAGTAACACGAGCGGCGCCGTATTCAAACGCCACTCGGCCCCTCGACCTCGGCAACTTACAAGACGGAAATCCTCTTGAAAACAGAACATCCTTTAACTATGTGATGTCCTCTAAGAACATATCTTTCTTATTCACTACGTAGAAAGCTGTCTGATAGATGGGTAGATATAGGAATATACCTAGGACCTAGGTAAGTATGACTATAATAAATATAACTATCGGTAAGAAAGCGGTTTCAGTCAACTGCATACTCCCACTCGTATATGCACGCCACAAAAGAGATATGCGAATTATATAGCAATATAAAATAGTAATAGTAATATGTACCTAACGTACTTGTATGTACATCTTTCTCTTTCTTTCTGTCAACTAAGTACGTACTGTATTATCGTTTAATACCCTGGGACGCCGCCTTCATGCTATGCTATGCTATGCTATATAATATAATTATCTTTCCTGATGTAATTAACCGCTATACCGCGGCCTCGTTCCAACATCATTACGTCGATACCTGATATTAGATTAGGTAGGTATATCGTAGGTAGGTAGGTAAATTAGGTATATATGATGTATTAGATGTATTAGTCATCGCACGTCGGAATGAATAAGGTTAAAGTTGTAGGTTAAAGTTAATATGCGCATTAGTATTCGGTCTTCGGTATTCGGTATCGGAACCTTCTTTTTTCTTTTTTTCTTTTTTTTTTCCTCAAATCATCATATCCACACATCCACATCCACGCCCCATCACATCTCATCATCCTGCCCCATGCCCGTTCCCTAGCCCCTGATCCCGATATCCGCTCTCCAGACCCTGCGCACTATGCGTCGGCGTGTGCACGCTGCTAGTATCGTGGTATACCTCGCTCCCCGGCAACTCGACCGGCGCCGGCGAGTTCGCGCCCCCGTCGTCTAGCTCTGCGAGAAGCGGCACGCCGGACGACCGCTTGTCATTATATCCCCCATCATCACTCTTACCACCACCACCTCCTGCTCCGTCTTTCTTGTCCCCGCCGCCGTAGTAATCCGCGGGCAGTTCCTTCGGCCCGCTAAGCGCCGTCGCGGGACTTAACTCCGCGACGCCGCTGAACTGCGCGTTGTGCTGCGCGTACTCGGGCAATGGCGTCAGAGGCGACGGGTGGTACACGCTGCTGCCGTTGAGCGAGAGCTCCACGTCGTGTCGGTGCGGCGAGTTCGGGTCGGCCGGCGGGTGGTGTGGCCGGCGGCGGCGCGAGTACGCGAATACGAACCAGCCCAGCAGGCCGAGGGCTACGCTGCCGAAGCCGATGCCTACGCCTAATCCGATCTTGGCGCCTGAGGAGAGGGTGCTGCTTCCGGAGGAGGAGGAGGAATCGGATGTCGTGGGCGATGCTGCTGTGGGAGAATCTGATGTGGAAGTCGGCGAGGTAGATGTTGGCGTAGCGGAAGACGTCGTTGCGGTGGCGGCGGCGGCTTGTGAGAGGAAGGCCTGCTTGGAGACGGCGATGGTGACGCCCGTGCCGGCGCAGTTGTTCTCCATGGTATCGTAGACGGCATTGAGATCGGCGGAACTCTGTTTGGCGACACACACGGCGGTATTGTATATGAAGTTTCCCTTGTTGGAACACAGGCATCTGTTCATTTCATTACCCGTGTTGCCCGTGCATTTGCTGTCGTCGGCCGCGTCGTATAGGCATTGTTGTGAGCCCTCGGGGTACGCCGAGAAGTCGTTATCGATGGCTAATGAGACTTGGGTCTGCACCGCGATGCTGAGCAGCAGCGAGGCCGGCAGCGTCAGGAACCACCTCATCCTGACTGGGCTGGCCGGCTGCTTGCTATTTAGGTGTGGTGTAGTGTAGTGTGGTGTGGTGGATACTCAGTCGTTTACGACCTCGACGAGATAATCCGGGACTTCTAACTAACTAGTCGCGTTCGCAACGCTTAGCGGTGAGGACCGCTTAGGAGGGGTTGTCCGGACGCTACAGGATGGAGAAAGATTGAAAAGAGAAAAAAAAAAAAAAAAAAAAGAATTAAGGAAAAAAAAACCGGTGCCTGAGTGAATCACTGAACACGGAGAAGATCCGTCACCGCAGCAGCAGCAGCAGCACCGGTAATTTGCTTTTCCTTCAGCCTTAAGGCCTATCTAACCCAGTTATCGCGTCCAATAAGAGAGGATATCGTACACGGACGAAACAGCGCCCCCATATTACACAATTACACCATGCTCATCATGACTATCTTTCGTTAACTACAGCCAATTACGGGCTGACGGGCTGCTAAATTCTACACGGCAGAGGTCGTGTTACAAGTATCCGGTTCCATGGCTCGACGAGGGAGGAGGCTGTGTGATCAGCCCAATATCCAGCCTTAGACCCTTGTCCTAATTATATATGTGCATACCCATCTTCTTGGCAGCAAGGTATTCTATTCGTCCATTCTACGACACGGACTTTTGTTACATATCCCCTTTTATATTTCTTGTGCACGTACGGAATACGTACATTAGGTAGTCCTATTATAATGCCTGCATCCGTCTGGCATAAAGAATCCACCGCTACATAGTAGTCACTAATCATTCTACTATGTAGCAGCCTCCTAAAATAAGAAACCGGCTTTTCTTTTTCTTCCCGAATCCGTTGCATCATTGGATCGAGGCTCAACACGATAGTACGATGCGTAACGCCCTGTAGTGCATCGGATTTGCTAGCGCACTATGTAAATAGCTGATTTATTGAAGCGCTTTACGCTTTACGCAAAGACTTCCGTCGGTGACGTCTTCATGTGGCTTCGCTAGGAATTATAGGGTGAAAGCAACGATTTCATTTAATAGGCTCGTTGTTTCGAGCATGCTGCTCCGGCTAAGATTTTAACATCAGACCCTCTAAGCCTAAGTGAAGCTCTTGGTTAACGGTAATTTCGTTTGGCAACAAAACCAAGCTCACTCACTGCCTGAGCGAGGTCTTAACACACCCCATCTCACTCACGCCATAGAACCATCTGAAGCTACCTCGTTTCCATCAAAGCCTATCGTAATAACACCATCGAGTGCCTTCGATCATAAGAATGTATATACTGCCTTGGGTGTATCTAATCGTAATCCGCATCTTAACCGCCAATTCTCAACCCCACCCCTTTCTAGCGTTGGCATCGCAAACAAGAACGTGTACGCCGACATCATATGGAAGAGCAAATCCTCGGAGCTGGGATCCAAGGTAGAAAGCTTTTCACACGCTTTGCCAGCCAATTCAAGAGCCTCAAACTCCGCCCATGAAGTCAGGTGATCATATACGTGAGTATTCGCCTGGTTTGTTTTGTTTTTTTCAAGCCGTCCTCGTCACATGTGTGACAACAAATAAAAAAGCTCACTACCACCGGTATGAGATCCCTTTAGGTATGAATAGTTGGAAGTCGCGTAAACTGCCACTTCGATATCGTACAGGGACAAGAAAACGCTATCGGGGTGAAGGACGTGTAGGATATGCATATTGCGCCATTAAAATACTCGAACTCAACTATGCCGTCGGTGGCTCTCCGAGTCATCTCCGCCGGTGCCATTAACAGGAAGCTTGTCCGGGGATTCGTGGGCGCTCTTGATGCCGTTGACTAGTCTAGTACTCGACAATTCGGTCGAAGGGGACAGGTTCTCGCCAACGTAGTCTGGAGGCTCGTTCGACACCATGCTCCGAGGGGTCAAATGTGCCCCGTTCAGCACGGCTTGTTTTTGTTGATCCGTAAGGAGGTGTGTCAACCCCTGCTCAATGCAGATGCGCGCATAGTCAGGCTCATCCGACGTGACTGCAACAAGCCCGCCCCTTCTTGGGACCCGATGGTCTGGAAATGGAGTTTTGCTTGGCTGGTATGGCTGTGGCTTCTTCTCGCCCACCAATTCCCCGTTAATATAATACTTGCATTGGGGTGCGAACCCTCCACGGCTTTCGGCATCCGGATCTTGCTTCCACTTGGCTGGGGCACTCCAAGTTGAGAGAGCGGATTCATGCTCTGGGAGCTCGCAATACGATATCGACAGTTTGACGTTACGAAGATGAGGTATGGTAGGAACGATGTAGAGGAAGTCGGATTGCTTTTGATCATGTTAGTGCCAAGTCGATAGTGTTAACATGCCGATATACATGTGACAAACTTACTTTGATAAAGAACATCTCCGTCTCGGAGAAACACTTCCACGCCTCACCACGAATATGTTCGAGCCTCCTGTAGCCAACTGACCAAGGATTACCTCCGTAGAAGTTGGGTAATTGTTCTCCTAAGTGATATAGTTTGCTTTCAGTTAGAGCATATCTATCCTGCTCCAGGCGCCAGATAACTCTCTTTGCTATATGCGATACTGGAATACGTTCCCACGCAGTATCTAAGGATCGATCAGTTAAACACGACAAAAATAACTGCTTAATAACAACTCACATCTTGACAGCGAGGTATCTTTCTCGCCCAAGAGCAGGGCAACTTGGGTGTTGAGCAACCACAGCTCGCGTCCGTTTGCGTGGCCAGTTGCCGAGGGGTTAATCGTATCGTACCTTACCCCTCGCGCTATAGCGAAGAGCTCGGCTATGTCTTTTTGCTTGGGGTTTGGGCAGGCATCAAGCCAGCGTAATAAGGGAGGTAGCTTGGATAGACGGATCTTCTCCATCTCCTCCTGGCGAGCACGCTGCATCTCGGCTTCACGTGCAGCTCGCTCCGCACGTTTGCGCTCTTGTTCCTTTTGTTCTTCCTCCTCTCGCAAGCGTTGAGCTTCTTCGGCGGCCTCCCTCTCGCGACGGAGTCTAGCCTCTTCCTCTTGTCGTTTACGTTCTTCCTCCTCCTTTCGTTTTCTCTCCTCTTCCTCTCGTACCCTTCTCTCCTGCTCCTCTTTCTCCTTGCGCTCTTCTTCTAGACGCACCTTTTCCTCCTCTTCTTTTCGTCTCTTTTCTTCTTTCTCCAAACGGATTCGCTCTTCTTCTTGAAGACGCTTCTTTTCAACTTCTTCCCGTCGTCGTGCTTCCGCCTCCTGCCTTTTCTTCTCTGCTTCTTGACGCTTTTGCTCGGTTTCCTTCTTCTTTGCTTCTTCAGCAGCTGCCGCCTCGGCTTCGGCTTGCTTTCTCTTTGCCTCTTTGCGCTCACGGTTGATCTGCGCTTCGCTCTCTTCGACTGAGTATGTTTGAGGTGCGTCGCGCATATCAATGTCAACGTCTTCGGAGGCCACGGTAATACTAGTCTTCTCCAGAGGGCTTGCTTTATCTAGCTCTCTACGATCGCGACTAGCTTTCTTGGACTTCGGTACTTCTTTACGATCGTCCAAGGCTCGCTGTGACCTAACGGGATCCCGTGACGGATCTCGTTTCTGCTGTTGACTTTCGGGGGAAGAGTTTTGAAATGGTCGTCTTTCTTTGCCGTCAGGATCCAATCTCCTTCTCTTAATAGGAGCGTCGGTATCGTCTTTATCTCCAAGCCCATGCCGAGGTGGTGTAACACTAGACCGAGGCCTCTTGGATGAACCCTCACCTACAGACAACCTATCATTAGACTCGTCACGCTTTATAGCCTTCGTTCGATCATGGTATTTCTCGGACAGCCGATCCGGTCGCTTTTCTAGTGCATCTTCATTTCTCGGATCCCCACGCTCGGTAGTTGAGTTGTTTGACGCTAAGCTCGCGCGGCGCTGCTTTTCCCTGTGCCCTTTCAATTCTTTACCTGAAATAAGCTTCCTACGTGGCTTTGCGGTTTCGGTATCAGAAGAGTTAATAGCAGGGTCCGAGTCCACCAATTTTGACTTCGACGGAAGGGTCTTAGACACAACAGGAGAAACCTCGCGGTCTGACGTGGCAATACTTGAAACGCGCTCTTCCTTCTTAGGACGTCCCGGCCCACGCTTGGGTGAAGTTTGTTCGTCATGATTACCAAAGGAAAGTGAGCGCCTTTTCTCCTTAGGACTTCCAGAGACTTTAGTAGAACTGGCCTTCTTTTTAGGGTCGACATCTCGGGAGGGGCTGGATGGCCGACGCTTATGTGATCGAGCAGCGTCCAGGTTTGACTCATTGCGATTGGCACGTCTCGATTCTGGGTCCAGTTCGCGATCACGGTCTCGCCTGCCCGGAGACTTTGTCTTGGAGGAAACTTTAGGCGATTTCTTAAACTCGTCGTAAGCATTCTTTAGAAGATGCTCCTCCTCTTTCCACATAGGTCCCTCCCGACGTCTCGCTATCTCGTAATAAGTCTGACCCTTATAGCGACGAGTCGGGTCAAAATTAGACGCGTTGAGCAAAAGTTTAATAACTTCGATATTCTCTCCACCAATAGCGGCTAACATTGGCGTCCCATGTTCTGTTGGGAGGCCTGGAACAGGTCGTGGCGGGTCTGGGTTCGCACCTCCTAAGGCGAGCAGGAGCTCAACCACAAAGCTATGGCCACCGCGAGCTGCATTGACCAGAGCCTCGGGGTCGTCACAACGTTCCTTGACTTGCAGTACACGAGTCACCGTCTCATTGTCACCTCGCGCCGCAGCTTGTCGAAGAGTCTTGTCATCGAGATTCATATATAGCAGATGATTGCTGGTCTTCGTCGATCGTACGGCACCGCCGCGGCGTTGAGCCGCTAACGTGTTACTACCCGACGCCGCGGGTGAACGACGGGGACTTTCAGGTCCGTGGGAGGAAAGGGTATCCGGCATATCGTGGGGCGGGTGGTCTTCGGAAGTTCGCCGCAGCTCGCCAACTCTCTCCTTCGCCTCCCGCAACGCAGCTCGGATTTCTTCAGCGTTTTCTAGCTCGTCAGGTACCTTCTCCAACGGTTCGTGTCCCTCAGCATCCGCCTTTCGGGGGTTTACGCCAGCTTTCAACAAAAGTTTCACGACACCAAGATGGCCGTTCTCTACGGCATCAAGAAGCGGTGTCTCCTTATCGCTATTTCGGCAGTCCAGATTGCATCCCGCATCAATAAGAAGTTGGACAATTTGTTCGTGCCCGTTGAGTGACGCAACTTGTAGAGGTGTGTTTCCAGCGTAATCAGCAAAATTTAAATCTTCAGGTCGTTCGGTCAGCCGCTTCTTAGCAGCTTCGTATTCGCCTTTCGCACAGGCTTTGGCGAGCAAAGTTTGCCCATGGTTATCAACATGCTTCTTGTGGGCAGGCATCCTTGCGGGCGAGATTGTTGATTCACCAGTGACAGGGGTAGCTATACTTCTTAACTTTGAACTTCGAGGATGCGGGCTTCCACTGGCAGACGACTCGTCGGAGTGATAATCAGTGGACTGAAGGGGTGCAGGTATACGCCTTTTCTTCGTGCTAAAGCCATTCGAAGATTGAGATGGAAGTTGAGTTGAAAGGCTACGTCGGTGAGCGCGACCATGGGGTGACAGCGATCGGTTTCGAGAAGTGGATTGTCTGTCGTGGGGAAGTCGGACTGATGAGGGTTTTTGGTCCTTCTCCCTAGCAACAGATTGGTTGTCAAGGCCTGCGTCTGAAATACGCGGTCGACGAGCCTTCCGCGACTCGTCTTCGTCATCAGATTCCGCCTTGGGTGCCTTGCGCTTGCCAGTTAATAACCTATCTACGGATTTCGACTTGTGTTTAATAGTATCTTTAGTAGGTCTCGTCTTAGAGGATTCGGAGCCTGATTCCGACTGTGCATCACTGGACCTGCGACGCCGGTGGATGTGCTCGTGGTTATTGCGACGGTGTGGAGGCGGAGAAGCAGGAGCAGAACTAAGCCCACTTGATACCTCTTTACTTCGCGGTTGCTTCTCTTTCCCAGGTAGTCGCTTCTTCCTTTCTAAGAAGGCTACATCATCGGAAGGGCCACCATTGCGATCGCCGTTTTTACCATCCTTCGGATACTTCCTCGGAGGCGGTAAAACATCGTCAATCTCACCATCACTCCTATCTTCGTGCTTTATTACCTTTCGAGGTTTTGACGGAGAGATAACGCCATCCTTGCCTGGCAGGACGATGGTCTCGGCGTCCGAGTTCTGATCAGGTCCAACATCGTCATCCTGCGCACTTGGTAATATCGGCACGGGTCGCAACTCCTTAGACGTGGCAGGTGCTTTTGCAGTCAGTGAAGGTTTAATGTTATTGGTTGTGGCGTTATTCGCTGTCACCGTCGACTTGGGATCTTCAGACTCAGCAAATCCCCGCTTCGGCGAAGCAGCCTGTTTCGTGTTTGCGGACTCGACAGCATTCTGCGCATCCATAGCATTCAATTCATATACCGAAATACAATACAGTACACCATGATGGCCACTCGTGGGTGACGATAGGGACAGAATTCGTGTCGAGACTCTGTACAAACTTGACGAATATGGACTACTCTACAATGGTACGAGTACGAACATAAACGGTCGGTCGCGGGTCAAACGGTTAAGGAACTGATAGAAAACAAGACCCTAGACGGTCTTGGACTGGAACTGAGTACTAAATGGGAGTGAGGAAATGTGCGGTTTGCTAAAATGTTGCTGATGAATAAGAGTTAAGAGTTTTCGCAGATAATGACCGTCATCGAATGTGAATAATTTTCGGTGTAGGGAAATTATTTGCAAAATTGAAATTGAAAAGTACGAAAAGGATGCAGCAAACCAAAAGCACCACTAACTCCTAGATAATAATAATAGAGTAGCAGGCAGGTAGCAGCATGTAGGCAAGATAGGTAGTAACAGATAGGCGGATAGGTAGGTAAGGCAGGTAAGGCAGGCAAAGTGGTAGGCAAAGCGCATAGAGATAGGAAACAACTGAACACTGGCAGGAAAGCCAGACTTGCCAGAGAGACAAGACGGAAAGTGAACGGGTACTGGAATACTTGAGGTAGGCTATGCACAAAAATAGACTAGTGGCTTTTGTTAGGGTGGTGGCACTAGGACTGTTTTCCTTGTGTAGCCATTGAAGATCAATTTCAAGATCAGTTTAACAAGCTGGGCCCTTTTCTAATTGGCTGCCGACCTGAATACGGATGGGTCGGGTGGCCGGTATTTCCGCAAATTTGCAGAGCTCTGAGTTGCTAGGTCTTGAGCTGCTTCCTTGCCCTCCGCCCCCCCCCCCCGACTGCGGCAGCCCCTGCTTATTTTGCCAGCTTTCACTTGCCTCTCTGCTCGTTTCCGCCCCTCATTTCCCCAGTTCTTTCCAGGCTTTTCCTTCCTTCGACTTTGTGAAAATTCTCTCTTAGCAGGGCTCGTTTATTAATTATCGCTAATAAACTGCACAATGCACATCTCCTTCTCCAATCCAAGATTCCATTAAATCTGGCCACTCTCTCCTTTTTATTCGGAGTGTTCAACCCACCTTCTTGCTGATAAGCTAACCCGTGCCGATCCGCTTCCAAGGTCCATCAGCTACCCTATTTATCCCAAACGATTTCGAAATCGTTTTGATACGCAAAACCCAGCCTCGCATGGGTCTGTGAATTAGTACCACGTGCTATCAGATTCAGATTGCGTATTCAACCATTACAAAAAAGCATATCGTGATAAAATGTTCTAACTGCGTTTCCACACCAACCATAACGCTTTCAGGCACCCGTACACTAACGCCCAATTCGTCCGTTCTCGATAGTAATACGAGCATCCAAGATCTTTAATCCGACGTCTGCCGAATTCCCGTGGTGGATATTCATTATGGCCAACAACGAATTTATGGATCCTACCCCCGCTAGCCTTAGGCTTCCCGATTCTCTTGATGAGGTTCGAGTTACAAGTTTACCACACGCCGCCTACTACATCTCGGATTTCATCACGCAAGAGGAAGAGCAAGCGATTCTTGACAAAGTACGGTTGTGATGGTCATGGAGACGATGAGTTCCGTACCCCCTCGCCTGACAATGACACAGATAGCATCCGCACCGAAACCACGTTGGAAGCAATTATCCCATCGCCGACTGCAATCCTGGCCGTCCGATCTCGTGAATAATAAGTTGATGGATGCTCCCTTGCCGATTTGGTTGAGTGATCCGATTGTGCCGCGTCTGAAATCGATCCGACTCTCACAAGAACCCGATTCGCCCGATATATTTTCAGATAGTCCCCACCAGAAACCGAATCACGTTCTGATCAATGGTACGTGTAGAGAAGAGCGTACGATGAGATTCGGTGTATCCTTCAAGTCGTATCACACTATTTTCCTCGTTCTTGCTTATCGTGCCTATTCATCCGAGAAAAGAAATTTATGACGGGTCTAAAACCCAAAATTCCATGTTATGGCATGTAGTATTAATTTGTATTCAGAATACCCTCCTGGCATCGGCATAATGCCTCATAAGGTAAGCGAGTAGCATAATTGGGGAAGGCTATGATAGACTGCTCACTCCAAGACAGGACGGGGCTGCGTATCATCCTGTCGTGTGTACAGTGAGCCTCGGTGCTAGTCTCTGCCTCAACATCTACAAATCCAAGGACGACGGCGCGCTAGATCCTAATCCAGTATGGAAAATATTGCAAGAGCCTCGAAGCCTACTCATCACTACCTCTGATCTTTACACAGATTTTCTCCATGGTATCGAAGATATCACGGAAGATATTGAGCTCTCTAATAGTACGATTGCCAATTGGGAACTCCTACGGTCGCCTAAAGAATTTGCAAATGGTTGCAATGTACGAAAGACGCGTACCAGCTTAACGTATCGAGACGTGGTGAAAGTATCCAAGTTGGGAGGCAAGCTCGGATTTCTGCAGAAAAAATGATGTGCCCAGACTGATTTGATTTCAAAATATGCCTGGTATCATTTTCCATTTCCCTTGGACTCTTTCGTGGCCGAATTTTTCACTATACCACTTCTTGGTTCCGTTTGCAGTGACACCAAGATTGACTGCGACAAACAGTACAGCACAGATCAACGTCTTGTTGTACAGTTGGCCGGCGGGCGCTGCTATCAACGCTAGAGAAAGATATAACACGCACTCGCACGTATAATGCGGGCACACTAGGTACTGGAATAAGCCATCCGCCGGAAGTGAATATTTCTTCAATCGAGACAGATAGCTATGGCATCTGTATTGCATGAACCATGAGGCCCAAAACGTGATAACCCCGAAGACCGTATTGAATGATGGTATCTCGATACTAAATGTCCTTCTATCGGAAGACTGAATCGAACCTATCATTACTTCTTAGAATATTATAAATAAAAGATAGCCATAGTACCTACGAGATCCATGTATCCAAATAGAAATGCCCGTGCAGAAATAATAAGCAACACCCAGTAGCCAATGGATAATCCACATCTCAGAAGATGAAGAGCGAACAATGGCCACGTATTCGTATAGACGTCTAGCACCTTGCAAGCTCATCAAAGCCCATACGATAACGACTTGATTGATCGACATCGAGGATGCCTCGCTTGGAGCTTGGTTCTTGACTATAAACTCGAGTATCTTTCCATGGCTAAGGAATTGGACCGCCCAGAAGATGGAGCAGAACACAGAAATAATATAGAAGTGAATAAACCATGAATGAGGCACTTTACCCACAGATGTGGCCCAGCTAACGAGGCTAACGAGGCTAACGAGAGGTCCATCGCGAGCCTGCTTTCTCTCCTTGTCGTCCGATGTGCCCGTGGGTGAAGTTCGAGCCCCATATTGGGTCAGGAGGCGTCGTATAGACTCAGGAGCCACCGCGATTCCTAACACCGCTGCAGCCGCGAGGACATAGAAGAGTTGGCAATACGCGGCTGGGCTTATGCTCGCGAGGTGCTTGACCAAGTCGGATACTGCCATTGTCAATGTAAGAAGATTTGTCTTCTCCCGCGTGAACGAACACCTCGAATAGAAAAAAAGCATGTGAAGATGAACTACCCGCTAATCTGCAAGTCCGATTTTGTCTAAAATTCGACGGATATGCTTTAGTGCACATATGGGCTTATCGTTGCATATGCGACTAGGCAGTATATAGCTCAGATTTCAGGGGAATTTATCGCCAGGCAGCTTCTTGAGACTATTGTGAAATAATTTACTAAATAGGTTTCCAAGGCGGTGCCGTGTGAAGTAAATGCTCATTCGAATACCACTGTAGTCTTATAAGCGCAAAAATCACACCACCATGGCTGACCTAGGGAGGGTTTTCACGAGGTCGAGTGTTCGAGTCCCCAGGCTCAACTCCCTTGTGTTGTTCTACACATTTTTACTTACAAAACCACCATCGTCTTGTTTCACATAGTTTATTATACGAAGCTACTAAGTTACAATATGATCTCAGCCTGAGTTTAGGCCTAGTGTCAGCTTCCAAGCTTGGCTGTACCTACTACCTAGGTAGGTAGGTAGTCTTTATACTCGTGCCGGATTAATTTCTAGACTTGCCACTCGGGGGCTTAGATGGGTTAATTAAGACTAGATGGTTTTCCAATACTCCAAAGCTATTTAGAAGAAAAAAAAAAGACAGCCAAGCTAACGAAACTTCAAAATTACCTAGATACTGCAACGTGTTATTCGTACCCGAATATGCAAACGTCTTACCGACTACGTATATTTTACCAAAGGTCCTTCAGTCTTCTTCTACATATTCCTCTGGTGTGAAAGACTGCTTATAGTCTATCATTCAGCTTCTCGAAAGAATAAATGACCTGACTATCTCTGTTGATGCCATCACCACAGGTTTCTGAGCCTACAACTTATTCAGACTATACGACAGCCGGAATAGATATATTATAGAATATGCATTAGATCATCATGAGGATATTATCTAAAACATTTAACACATCACAGATACAAGTAGCCCAGTATTCAAGTCAATAATCACGACTTCAAATTTACGAAAAACTACTAACGCCCACGATAGCTATCAACCTAAGCGATAGAGATTCGTACTAGACTAATATTGATAGATGTTAGGACTAAGTAGTTGCTGATTGACGTTAATTTAACTATAGTTGTTCCTTTAGTATGTGCTTGAATAGCTCCCTTATGTCCCCGTTGTTTAGCAAATAGTCTAAGTTTCCAGATGTACTGTTAGGCCCAGGCTTGCATAGTGGCTTCGCGGTAAAATAGATAGCCAGGTTGGTTTGTGCGCATCTTATGACTTGACGGTCGAAATGATCAAACTGGCACACAAGCCAGCCTATGATTTAGACGTATCCTCCCAAAACTAATGCAGGCGAGCAGGCTACCGGGACGGATTCCTTCACGGGAGATGTATACTCAATTATAAGTCACAATCAATTAACCAATCAGCAACCACGAAGTCTGTTCATATATCATATATATGAAGCCACGGGTCAAGAGTAGGCCTTTTTGATAAGTATTTATTTACTAGTATAGATTTCACGTGCTAGACTCAACAATCACCGTAGTCCAAGGGTGCTAGCATGGGGTGCCTATATTCTCACACCCTGTTGTCTCTTCGTTTGTATTTCTCGTTGGGCATAGCTCTAGCCTACGCTGGATTTCCGTATATGTATCCATGATTGTGCTTTTTTGGTCATCCCAGTAGACGGACGTGATCCCCGGGTTCCTTTTTGAGACGTTAGCTAGGCACCCCTTGCATAATGGTTTATTTTTAGATAACTTTAATATTTCTCCCTTACTTCCACGCGTGCTCTGACCTTGATATAAGGGCTGGACCATACCCCGTTACGGACTCCGTTGCTTCCGCGTGCCGTCCGATTTTGGGCCACATGGTCAACACTCGCACATAAAAGGGAATGGCGTATTTACTAGCTGTTGAGTGTAGATTGCAGGGAGACAATGGGGCGATTCCACGAGTATCTAATACCTGTGTCTAGGGTACCTGGTCATCTTATGCATCACGTTTCTGCTGATTTTCTAAATGGGTGGGAAAAACTTCACTTTCGTGTGAGGCTCAACTATTCCGTTCAGCTTTGAGAATTAGTTAAAAATTCGAACTTGTTGTTTCTGATACGTTACTGGCTACTTAGGTATACTATCATACATATGCCCTGAGGGGCCATTCAAAGAATATCTAACCCAGGCTTGGATTTATCAATAGTATAGTTATTAGGTAGTTATATAAACACCGAACTACCAATGATGTCCTAAAGGATAGCTGCTCAGTCTATTTTAAGGTAAATCTTGCTTAGGTATTGGCCATGAAACATATTGTTTGCAATGGAAACTTATATCATTATGAAACCCTATGGTATAGAGCCACTATCAGTTGGCTTTAGCAGGATACGTGTGTCGTGAACTTCCCAAGTTGCCTCAAGAACTGCTCGTGTTTATTCCTATATCCATGGTCTCCACTAAGGAGGGATTGCGATTAAAAGATATTAATAATCGGGAAAACCCCGGCAAATTGCGGGGGCTGACATCACAGGGCAAAAAGCCTTCTGTGTTCTTCAATTCGCCCCTCCAAAAATGAGCATCGAATTTCTCAAGTGACAACTTACCTTTAGAAGAGATCGAGAGCGGCAGCCCTCCCTAACGTAGTGCAATTAACTGCTTAACATTCTACTTGGCTCGTCAAAATGTCGACTACGGTGGAAAAGGTGAGTTCACGTAAATATGTATTAATGACTTGGATGCTAACCTACCTGTAGATCAAAGAGATCGAGGCCGAAGTAAGTGGGATAAGCATCCTGAAGCCCGGATAGGGTGTGCTAAACTTGTTGATTTGATAGATGGCCCGAACTCAAAAGAATAAAGCAACATCATTTCATTTGGGTCAGCTAAAGGCAAAACTGGCCAAACTGAAGCGAGAGCTCCTAACTCCCTCATCGAGTGGTGGTGGCGGCGGTGGTGCCGGTTTCGACGTCGCCAGAACTGGTGTTGCCAGTGTTGGATTCATTGGATTTCCGTCCGTGGGAAAAAGTACTTTGATGAGCAGGTTGACTGGTCAACACTCCGAAGCTGCGGCGTACGAATTCACTACCCTGACATCCGTACCTGGACAAGTCATGTACAATGGTATGGCATCAATGACCCCCCCAATAATATTCCCCTTTTAGGCGGACTTGATTGTATTTGTATCTGATACTGATACTATGTTGTACAGGAGCTCCATTGCAGATGATCGATCTCCCTGGTATTATTGAGGGAGCTAAGGATGGTAGAGGTCGTGGTCGTCAGGTGATTGCTGTCGCTAAGACTTGCCATTTGATATTCATTGTGCTAGACGTGAATAAGCCCCTGACAGACAAGCGAGTTATCGAGCAGGAATTAGAGGGATTCGGTATTCGTATTAACAAGGAACCGCCAAACATCACCTTCAAGAAGAAGGACAAGGGTGGGCTTAACATTACAAGTACCCAACCCTTAACCCACATCGACCATGACGAAATCAGGGCCGTCATGTCCGAGTACCGTATCAACTCAGCAGATATTGCGATTCGCTGTGATGCCACGATTGATGATTTGATCGACGTCCTGGAAGCCAAGAGTCGTAGCTACATACCTGTCATTTACGTCCTCAACAAGATTGACGCAATCAGCATTGAGGAGCTGGATCTGCTTTATCGAATCCCCAACGCGGTACCCATTAGTTCTGAACATGGGTGGAACGTCGATGAGTTAATGGAGGCCATGTAAGATTCGACCCCCTTACGAAGACGTGTGGACGTGTGGACGTGTAGACGTGTAGACGTGGAGCGCACACATGGCTAATCTCCTTTTTCTTGCAGGTGGGACAAGCTAAAATTGGTCCGGGTTTACACGAAGCCAAAAGGAAAGATGCCGGACTATTCAGCGCCTGTTGTGCTTCGTTCCACTAGGTGCACAGTCGAGGACTTTGTAAGTACCTCGCCTCGGTAAACTTTGACCGGTAACAAACTGGCTGACCAATGAATGATAAGTGCAACGCAATCCATCGGAGCATAGTTGAGCAGTTTAAAACCGCAATAGTCTACGGAAAATCTGTGAAGCACCAACCCCAACGCGTGGGGCTTGCTCACGAGCTGGCCGACGAAGATATAGGTATTATTACTCGCCAATTCCCCATTGCACTTGCACCATCTTAGATACTAATCCTGTCCCTCATTAGTCACGATCGTCAAGAGATGAGTGGCCAGGCTCGAAAGAGCGGCTAGGTCCCCTATGCGCTCTCGGCCCACACGCCATCGTGAAGGGTGTCAAGTGTCGAGGTTGGCACCCTTTGTGTGCGCACTCCCGAGCTCTCGATTTCTATATAGCACAATGGATCAATGGATAATGATACCAAGAAGCGTCTTTATCTCATGACGCTACGCTGTTGGGCAGCTTCAAGGAACAGGGGATACGGTTGTCTGCAGATTTACGGATCAAGGGACAGGCCGCAGCCGATGCGGCGCACCATTGACGGGAAAGTATTGTTTGCTTTTTCTGGAAGGGCCCGATCATGCAAAGAATAATACAGTAGTGGGCGATTTTGCATTTTGCATGCGAGGATCTGGGAATCCGCAGGTCCAGGCCTACATACGACAAGACAACTGGGCTCCAATTTCGAGATTGCAATTACCTATATTCCCCTTTTGCGGGGGAATCCCACGATGCGTACATACATAGTAAGCCGCATTTTGAATTCAGAATGCCTGAGCGCACTCCGCATGCTCCAGAGACCCAAAGCTGCAAATCGTCACCACCTGCATAACCGAAGGCCTCTCTTAATGCGACCATGTCTCCGACGAGGCGTGGGGATGCATGAGCGGTGCCTTACCTCTCTCTTGGAGACCGTTAAGGCACCACGCACCACCCCTTTGCAGCAAGTTGACACGCATATGCTGAACGACGAAGTAGTTTATGTTCTTGGTGTTTATTTGCGCCACAATAATGATGAGTCCAACACAATTTATTGCCGGTCGCTGTCTTGGCCTTCCTGTCTTATTGTTGCACCTTAAACG